TGAGAGTAACAAATAATACAAATATGGAAAAGTTAATGAAAGGCTAATTTGTAACATGTTTCTCAATCCTTCGTATTTATAACTTAAGGATTATCATTTGATCACGTGATATAACATTATATTTTAATTGGATACTATAAATGTTTGACCGAAATTCTTGATTATCGCAAAAGTGGTGACCAAAACCTTTTTCCGGATTCTAAGTAAAGTTGTTCAGCGGATAAAAATACCATAGGTCTATTATTAGCGAATTAATATGTTAAATCGATATTTGATGAAAGATTTCCTATTTCAGAAAAGTTAAACTTTTAGGTTAACATTATATACAAATATATATATATATATTTATTTATAATAAATTGGTATATATATATATATATATTTAGATAATTTATAATAATATAAATTATCTTAAACAATAAGTATCAAAAAAAATTTAATTAAAGAGCAAAATAATTTTATAATTTATATTATTATAATAATTGTTAATTATAAAAGTTTATATATATAATATTATAAAAAATTTTTATAAATTGAATATTTAAAAGTTTCTAAAAAAATAAATTTGAATGTTTTAAATCTTTACTCCTTAATTATATTAATTTCAAGAATTTAATTATCAATAGTAACTGTTTTCACAATTTAGTTTAAATTATTGATCTTTTTAATATTTAAAAAAGAAAAAGAAAACCTATTTTCAAAAATATTATTTATTGTATTTTATATAATAAAAAATCAAGATTTTATATTGTTTATTTAAAACTATTCATCTTTTTTAAAAATATAAAAAAAAGATTCAATTGGTATCTTGTTTATAAAAATTGATTATTAAAAATTTTTATTATATTTTATAATTTTATAAAATTATTAATTTTTTTTTTGAAATTTTTTTAATTAAATTTGATATAATTTATATAAAAAACAAAATATTTAATATTTAAACAATATTGTTAAATATAATTTAAATTATAAATATTATAATTGTTTTTTCTAATATTTCACATATTGCTATTCTTCAAAGTGATATTTTACTAACTTTAAAAACTTTTCAAAATTACAAGAATTATTATTTATTTTTTTTAATAAAACAAAACAAGATTATATAATATATTGTTAAAATAACTATACAATTTATTATTGAAAATAGAATTTGTATAATAAATGATTTTTATAAAGTTTTGATTTTAATTCTATTGAGAATTTTTGAATTGAAATAAAAAAAATTAATATTTTATAAATTAAAACCAAGTAATTTCAATTAGTTTAATATGTTTGTTAAATAAGCATAATATAATATATCATTAGAATATTATTGAAATTGATTATAAGTAAGTCTAATTGAATTGCTATTTGTATTAGAGTTAAGAATAGTTTATAAAATATTAGAATGCCATTGATTTAATTTTTAATAAAAATTATATTTTTTTAAATAATAATAATAATAAATCAATTCATTTAAAATAATAATTTTTGTAAGTTTTGCTATATAACTTTTAAGCAATTAAATTAAATAATATAAAATTTTAATATAATATACTTTAAATATTTATTTATCTAATTTTTGTAATTAAAAAAAATGTATTTATAATAATATAATAGTTATCATATAATCTTAAGTAAATATTTATCACTGCTTAACATTATTTTTGATATACAGTATATTGGTTTTAATATTTATTTATTTTATTGCTTAGATGATTAATATAGGCAAGCTAGCATCAAACTTATTAACTTATATATCTTGTTATATAAAATTTCGAATATTCTAAAAATCCTAAAAATCCTAATTATTTTATAACTCTTATATAAATCCAATGATGACATACTCGTGACACTTGATTATTTTTTTATTTTTCTATAATATTTGCAATTATAGGCTTTAAAAAAAAATTATTAAACGATATATGATAATTAAATAAATAAATAAATATTCACCTAATTCATTTTTATTAAAGAAAGTTAAATATAATTTAATATCACATGTCTTAATTATTCCGATTGTTTTTTTTTCTATTTCAATCATTGTTATTGTTATTTTATTATTTCAACGATCCCGACATGTCAAGAAAGAGAAAAGGACAGCAAAACAAACAAATAAATAAAATTTTCTAATTAAAACAACAAATTGTATACACACTCACTTACCTCGCGCCAGATCTCTTTCGACGTTACACGATCGGCGATCGCGATGTAGCGACAGACTCGCGCATATGTTTTTAAGAGATAAGCCGTTATTTTTGACAGTACCGTAATTATCGGTTGGTGTGGCAACCATTACATCAATCATTTCTTTTTCTACAACAGTATCGAATACGTGTGGATCAGTTCTTTTTTCTTTTACTTACAATAATGACAACAATAATAATAAATTAATTAAAATTATTGATTGAATACAGTATAACGTTAATTATACAGTAAATCATCGGATATTATTTATTTTTAATAAAACATACGTACAATTTATTACTTTTTTTTATTAATTTTAATATAACCAGTTAATTTTATTAGATTAATAATTGGTGACTCGACAACAGCACACTTGTAATGACAAGTACAAAATATTGTTTTACGCGATTATAAAGTGAGGCACATAATTTTTCTTTACAAATCATTAGTTAAACAAACTAATGATTATTGTCAAGAAGTATCTCGATTTTATCAAATGTTGATGTATCATGCAAGTTTGCCGAACACCAAAAATCGTGTGCGAAATAAATTATCGATTCGATTCTAAATTTTTTGGCAATTCGAATTCGAAACTGTTATTCTTGACTCTTTAAAATTTTGATTCACTATTTTCCGACGTGATAAACTAAACCTGATTCAATGATTCACTGTATTGGAAGTTAAACTTTGTGCCCGAGCGAAAAAGTTATAAATACAGCGAGGGATATTTCATTGAACGGTACCTGATTCTTAGGATTATTGCCATGGCAAAAGTACATCATCTCTTAACGATTGTTCTCCTATTCACGATTCTACTTGTCAACCCTATTAACACATCCCAAGTGAATTCGGAAGTTTCTAACGATGACCTTACAGGATCCTCAATCGCCTCCGATGATAATGGCCTTACTCGATCCACAATTGCCTCCGATGAATCTTCATTGGGAAAACCGGTCGATCTAGACGATGTTGATGAGGAACTATTTGGCGGTCTTAAGCGTCTTGGAGGTATTAAGGATATTGGTCGCCGTCTTGGAGATATTAAGGGTCTTACTCGCGGTCTCACACGTGCAGGACGTCTATGTCTTAAGAAATGTATGAAGACATGTATGTTCAAATGTGGGATTAAGACTGGATTTGAAGATTTGTTAAAAATTTTGTGAGAAAGGTGACCGGAACGACTATTAAGAAGGGTGACGCGAATTCATTGTAAACCAATATCGGTATCACGAAATTTTGTACTCTAAATGCTGTAAGATTTTACGAATAAAGCATTCTCGATTTCGAATAAAAATCGCATATACTGTGTGTGTGTATGTGTATGTGTGTATTGAATAAATAAAATGATTTATCCAATAACTTTATTGATCATATTAACCTTCTGTTTGCTTGCAGCCACCGGTGTAAATTCACGATATTATAATATATATATACTTATACATGCAGTATATATTATTTAAAAAAAATTCAAGAATTTTAAATTATATAAATATGCACATTAAAAAATTTATAATTTTTTTTTTCAAACACGATTATTGCATATTTATTTTTACAACAAATAGTTTTAAAACTTATTATCTATACATTACTTATTTGTATACCACTTAATGCTTTAATCATCTTTTATGGATCCCTTTTATGGATTTGGCACTATTTTTACATTTTCTTTCACAGCACAAAGGGGTATTATTCAAGACCTTTTTTGTTAACTATTATCATTAGAAATTACAGGAATACAAATGTTTGATGAAAAAAATGCAATACTTCTGCATTAGGTATCTCATTCTATACTTTATGTAAACTGTACATACAGTGTATAGGTATACCATATACAGTGCCACATACACTATGGCATATCAAATCTTAGTTGCATGGCGATACAATATTTGTAATTCAATGGAAATTTCTAAAATAAATATACACACACACAATCGTCTTACAGTATTAACGTTATGTTTGCAAAATTGTGTAGAATACGTATAAATTATGGTATACATATAAACAAACCATTGCAAGTAAACAAATTTACTCTGGTGTAAACAATTCAATTACAATAGCGTTAAATGATGACACAAAAAATATTAGTCAGAATAGCAAAGATAATATTTTTGGTAAATTGATATTGCTATTATGTAAAGAGGGGATAGGGTGTTTTTTTGCTCTTTCATACTTTGACACATTAATCTTTCACGGGACGTCAACGTCCCACATTACGCCAATAAATAAAAATTTAAAGAGTTTTATAGTGAAAAGGTTTTTAAATGAAAATTTAAATAGTGGGAGATATTTACAAATATTTGTTCGCAAGATTACAGGAAAGAGAAAATCAGTATGTATATCTATCAATAAAACCTGATTGAAGGAAGAAAGCTATGTATAAAGACGATCGGCAGAAGAAATTGTAAACAACCGTCAAGAAAAATAAAAATCAAATAAAACAAGACACAAAAAGAAAGACGAAGGAAATTAGAAAATGTTCTAACATTATCATCCGTCATCATAGTTGTATATACTGTATATACTGCATATATATATTGTTGGTGAATATAGAATAAAAAAAAAAAATTTACATATTTACAAGGCAAAGTATTCAGAATCGATTAAAATTCAAGAGTTGCAAGCGATCAAATGCTGTTGACGTGTCTCTTTGTTCCAACAAATCCAAGTGGAAACAGGAAAGGTGACATATTATTCTTCTTGCGAATGACCAAGGGATCCGAATCGAGGATGGGAGTGTGATGCTGAGAGGTTTCGGAAAACGATTTCTTACGTTCCAAGAATGAGGAATTTTGAGGGACGGGATTTTGCGCGCGTGAAATGGGAGAAACCGTCAGCTCTACGCACATGAAAGGAAAAAGAAAGAAAGAAAGAAAGAAAGAAAGAGAGAGAGAGAGAGAGAGAATCTTAATATCTCCCCAAACGTTGCTTGAATTGAAATCACGAATTAACGACAGGCACGTACCACGTTGCAAGGGGAACAAGATATCATTCTTTTGGCAATCGGAATTGTCAAGATTATTCAGACGCTCAACTCTTCCATCATTGTTTTTCTTTGATCTCGGCGAACGTGGTTTTTCTGAGCATTTTTTTTGAACTAGGTCAATGTACTCATTTTCGATATGATCCTTCCTCAAAGATGAATCTGAAGTAATAGTAACATCGTTATTTACATTTTGACTTTCATTGTTACAGCGGGTTTGACATATCGTGTGGTAGGAATCCGTCTTTAAATCTTCTTCGACTTTAAGGCCTGCCTGCAAACTACCAAGGAAAGTGTGATTTGTAGACATATTTTCGCGAGACCAACATCATCGGCAGAAAATATCGAAATCGCATACGCACACATCGTTTCGATCTTCGTAATTGAACCAGTCGGAAAAATCCATCTCGAACTCGGTCCAACCGAACTCGTCAATTTTGTGCGTCGAAACGTCTTGATGAAAGTAACCATTCTTCATAACATGCGTCTTCATTTCAAGAGGTGTTGAAACAGAGGAGGTCAGACCGTTATGTGCAAACTGATTATCGCCGCGAGGAAAGAAGAACACGCCAAGATGTTTACGAGGACGAGGGGCGATAAGAGTTTCGGTGAGTAAGGAGTACATCATAAGGATAAGGAGAGTCGACGTGGTGGGATGGGAAAAAAGAGGAGGCTTGTTTTTTATTATTATTGTTATTATTATTATTATTATTATTAATTACGGGTGTAGACTAAAGAAGAACGCAAGGTGAGTTTTATATATATCCGCCTTGATTATTTATTAATCAATAATGATGACAAATTCGAGATTCCGTATGAGATTGACTTTGACCATCATTTATCTGTTATTGATATCGATTGATCGGTGATCAGTTTGAAATTACATCATATCAATAAAAAAAAATTTTTTTTTCCTCAATATATGATTAAAAAAATGATATCCCAGCGATTTATGATGAGGTGAGGTGACTACGATACCAAAATTCCAAATGAATAAATATCTGCTACCGGCGTGTAAGCATGCCCACACATGACTTCCTGTAGCAAGTAATCAGGTCATTCATTCGGTAAGTCACAACGAAGACAGGTTCAAGTTATGCAAATACACAAAGATAATTACTATAATTAATCTTATATCACCGCGAGTCGACGCCTAACAATCAACACATTTTAGGAATCAAAGATACATATATATGTTTGTCACAAAATCATCACAACAACAACAATAATAATAACAATAATACTTTTTTTCTCTTCTCAAACTCACTGTACCACCCATGATTACACGAAGATAGATTTAATTCATTGTTAACAATATTTGTTGTATTTATTTAATAACCTAAAAGAGCTCACTATCAATCAAGATAGTAACAATAGTAACATCTACTGTACACAGATGATCCTTATTGGTGAAGCCTCACGTAAACCTTTCTTTATGCATTGCCTTTTTCCCGTGAAATTGAATCCAATATGAATAAATAAAGTTAGTCTTTACCATGAATATCGTATCTCATATAGTCTCAAGTCCCAAAGTCAGGTCAATATTTGAGCAAGATATTTCTGATACCATTCGCGTCCCGATTCGTTCCACCTCACACGAATCACATTTAAGCGGTTTTGATCCACCGAGATCATTTTTACGAATCCAAATCAAGCGGGATAAACCTATTCAAAAAAACGGAAACACTCAAGTAAAAATGTCTCAGATTATTCATATCATGTTAACCGTATAATATTTTTTAGGAACGCGTATTTCCTAGCAAGCATCGAGATGGTTTGTGTTCGATCTTTTTTTCGATCGATACTTCTTCATTCGAAATTATTTGTTTATTTGTATGCAACCATCAATAGTCGAATCGTGCACGAACGTACTTCCCTAGAGTCTCTTTTACCCAAAGGAGTTCTTCAGTTGTGAAACACTCATCATTCAGGTAGTGCTTTCGTATAACGCTCATGTCGAACCTTGTTGTACGTCCATCTCACAGTTCCCATCCACTTTCTTAGCTTTCCTCTTCTTCGGGCGTTAAGTATATCTGTATCTTTCGTGTTTTTAATCTCTCTGTCGTTTTCGGTTTCCATCTGATCTAAGACCATTGTGTCTTGTCGCGAAGATAGTAACGATTGATGATAGGTTCTCGGTAAGCTCAAGAATTCATTCTATAAGCTCGTACGCAAATCTGCAGAGCCGATCCCTCCTGGTAAGCATAACCTTCTCGATATCTCCTCGGTACGATCGTTTCCAATTGACAGCTGACCCGATGTTTCTGATGAGTTCGTGGTCTGGACATTTCTGCCTGAGATACTCGCATTCCTGTCAAAGTTTTCTTTCTGTTTCTCGGAGCTGATCTTTGCGTGGTTGACCTTTTTCCTTTCATTTATCCGTTCTCACGTTTTTCTGATCCCTGTGCTTCACGATACTTTGTTGTTGACATTATCTCGCTCAAGCATACGAAAACGGGACTTACCTATACTCTATAAAGAATAATTCAAAGTTCTTTGCCATCCACAACCAGATAATATAAAATAATTATCCACTATTAAAAATAACAATCAGCAAAATAAATAACAAAATAAATAGATTTGGTTATTGTTTATAAACCGTACATCTGCAAAGTGAGACATTTTTCAGTCCATTTTAGTATACTTTAATATATTACGCGGTAATTATTAATTTTGTCCGTTTCAGATAAATCAGGTTTGAGATCAAAGCTTGAATCTTAGAATTCAATGATTTGTACGATGCGATGTACATAAAATACCTCCATCTATCAATTTATAACACGATATTGTATAACGGAAACATTGTCGACATCTGTTTTTCTTTTAGAATGCCATTCCCATATTTATTTATCAAGACCGCGTGACGCTGGTGTGAAATTTCGGCATTCAAGTTCCGGGATCGGAAGCATCCTGCCTGCCTTCGAAAATGGTGCATACATACATTATGGTGTGCACTTTTAAATCCTTGTTCGATTCACCGGTCAGATGTACCACGGTATGTGATACTGGTCAGAGCGTCACCGTCACCGGTTAAATTGATTTTCTCTTTGGAAACTACAATCACGCAGATTTCGGGTATTCTACACTTAGTTTCATAGCTTTGAGAGGCAAACTATATGAAGATATTTATGGGAAGATCTGTATCTGTTATACAACGACGCTCACCTTGTAGCCGTTGGTTCTTTATTTCCCAATAAAATGTTTGGACATTTCTCATGGTGTGCGGTATACTGTATCCTTATTGCATTTCTTTGTCGCAATCCCCAGGCCAAGATGCGCTCACTAGTTGCACACATCCCTGGTGACACCTCAACCTTCGCTCAAGAAGTGCCAAAATGCGTTGGATGTTTTACAAGTTCTCACATGATATTCATTAATTATGTGTTAATTGACACCAAACTTTGGTCGGCGCGCAACGGTAACTAACAAGCCAATCAGTCGGATCTGATCGCCGTAGAAACAGAAGATTTGTACAGTAATAAAGGTTACGTGTTGAATTGAAACCCATGGACATGCGTGTGTGCGTACATGCAACAGTGTTCATGATGAAGACGCGCCACCATTGAGATAACAAAATGTTATGAAACGTTCCTATATCTACTTACACATGAGAAAACCAATGGCGATTTTTTTGCTCTTTCATTTATATTTAAGTATCACACAATCTTTATCAATTTCCATATTTGTTATCACCTATGGGTAATAAAGGTGTAAACAAATCCGATTCCTTAATAAGAAATATTGGTTTGCAGAATTCAAAAGAAGCTCGAGTCCAAAATAACCTGCTCATTTGTTTAATAACAATGGGATTTTGTGATTACGTCACGGAGACGTATTCAACTCTCGGAGAACACGTGGAATAGCAATGAGATACAGTATATTTTTAAAAAGCAAAAAGTCTTTGTTTAATTGACATCCGACGACCGAATGATTTATAATAATAATTGTGTGGTCGTTAATTATATACAATACAAATAACATAGGTCGAAAGTGGGAAGAGGGAAGCGTAGATAAGATAGATAGATAGATAGATGAATGAATGAATGAGGAGCGAAAGAAATTCTTAGAAAATCATAATTTTTTTTGGTAATTTAAGTGGAAAAGAAAGCGTAATTACAGTATCTCCCTTCTATATCAACTTGGCACTTGTAAGGTGATACCTTTTCAATAAATGAAATCGGAAGGTACATAAATTTATCTTAAAAAAACAACAACTCGGTGTTCTATCCTTACGGTGACATTTTTTTAATGTAAAACCTCATCAGTGTTCTTTTTTATACTTCAATTGCTCATCAACGATGTATCATCTTGGCCAAATTACTGACAAGTTCTTCAAGTTTCACCACACCCTTACCAAGCACTTTCACACAGTTTTGAGATTCCCTGCACCTTGGACATGACTTTTCTCGGGTCACTTCTGGCAAAGTGAGACCATCATCCGTGGCCGGAATTCTTCGCGTGGACTCGGCGCCTATCGGCGGAATCTTCGGATACGGTGCGGGTTCAACTCTTATGTTCTTTTTTGTCTTATTCCTTATCGCTCCGCTCGAACACCCGCGACGTTTGTTCGGTAGGATGTAGTTTGGGAGAGATAAATATGTATTTAATCCTTGATCGGTCATTATTATTGATTTTTTAGCTGTCAAACGAAAATGTAGGTAAACTTTTCAAGAACTTTATATCATGTGAGGAAGAAAGTCACCATCAAAAAATATTCATTAGAAATTTTTTTAAGCGTAAAACACATAAATTCAACAGACTTATTTATATATATATGCGTAAACGGATTATTCATTCCGTCCTGCATGATCACGTGTTTCCCTTTATCGTAAATGCGAACAATGACTTTTGAAGTCTCAATTACAGTACGTACCAGGTCGGTCGAACCTGTGGATATGTGCGTGTACGAAATTTTAAAGGAAAAACGTGGTTTCTTTCGCACATCACCTAGGATCCTTTTAAATTAGGAAACAAAGAACCTTTGGAATTGCTGTCACAACAAACTCAATAACCCTATTGTCCTGAGGGATGGCGTTGTCGAGGTACATGATCGCTGGGTGAAGAAAAATTGCCGCTACATACGGATAGAATGACATAAAGAGAACAATTAATCTGCTGGTTTACAGTAAATCTCTTTCTTTATTAATTGTTTATCATTTGGTCGCACTTTCTCTTGCAGAAATATTTTATGATCTCTCTCTCGATGAAGAATGATTAGTAGTGCACGGATGCAAGATGCTGGTCAGTGATAGCAGCAATGAACGCCATGGCTTTCATACAGTATTTCCGCGTAGAATGGTATGTTTGTGTACCGAGAGGGAAATTGCTTTTTTGTCAGTTTCTTCTATGATCCTTATCGGTGGCAATTCAAAATTAGACGTTTAATTTAATTTTATTTTCCAAATATGAACTTTCCCACAAAAAAAGACAGATATACGCACACGATTCGTATTCTAGCGGAAAAACCTTACACATTTTATCGGTCAAAACATAACAAAAAAAGAAAAAAAAAAAACTCGGAATACTTGCGCGCTCTCAACAACGGTATGTTGCACTAATCCTGGTTTGCGGGGACACAGATCAATATTGGTAGTTACCAAAAAAATGCGGGTGTCGTGATACAAGGGAACCAAGGTAGAATTCAGTTCGTTATCATTGCACCCCGGAAAATCAAGTTAACACTACGTTTTTTGCGGCTCCCTCATTGAATTTAACGAATACTGTAATCAGTTTATCGAATGGCTGTCACACCAAGAGTACGTATTATGTGCTACCTATTGTATTTATTGTATCATATAGTTTTGTTTATTGTATTAATATAGTACATCATACACGCAATGGTGGTCTCCGGCAGTAAGTAGCACAATGGTATAATATGACGTGAAACCAAGCGATGCCGCTGCACTACTCAATACTGTATTATGTTTGCTTTAAGCTACAGTACTGTTACATATTAATTACCAAATCAGGTGAATGCGCCATACTCATTTCTTCTTTCTACGTAAAATCGCGTCGGGCTTTGACTTTGTATAAATCTCTCGCGTTGGTCACATTGGATTGCACATGATGCGCGCGACCCGTGAACGAAACACGTCGAAACCGAATGAAATGTAATACGAATACTCATTGTACATCTATGACTTTATTCATGTCGCGAAATAGAAAACCATGTAGCTTATAAAGTAGATGCTTAATATATGATAATAAAAATAGGTAGTATTTAGACTTGATATACGGTAAATGCTTATAAATATTTACGAGTGGTGAAATTCTTAGAAAGTTATTTGGGGAGGGTGTACAACGAGAAAGTTTAAGTGCGAAATGTTATTCTAAAATATAATACAAAATGTATAAAGTTGTTTGTCGTGATTTATCGGTGTATGGTGAAGTAAAACGCGCAAGATGAACTCGCAAAATAGATTTCATTGCGCTCTCACTTCAAAAGACGGTTCCAATGTCGTGCGGTAGAAATTGGTGATTAAGGCAAGTATGTCGTCGGTACTGCATCTCGAAAGATCGGTTGTGAGATTCTCTTGGGCAATTGGAATCCGTGGGATTCCCGATTCTTCGATAATTCTCCGGTCCTGGTTGGTAAAATACAACGTCAATAACAATACGCGCATGGAGTTAACCTTTTTAATAATATCGTTACCTTTTCATCCGCAAACTTTGTTCTTGAGGCCAAAGAGTTTACCAAATCTTCAATTCTATCGATCCTTGAACATAATAATTTGACGCACCTATTTGACTCTTTGCAACGAGCGCAAGTCCTTTTGGTCATTTTCGGTGTGCTATTGGCGGATGTCGAGAGTGACGGCTGAGAAAACTGAATTGGCGATGTCGACGTTAGCGATGCTTGACCGTCGTGCGCGGTGTCAACCGACGAAAAAATATTTATTTCGTTAAAGGTATTCATTTTGTTTCGAGTTCATGGACCCCTGGACATAACATGGTAGTATTTATGAGAATTTTGAGAACGGCAGAATGCACTGCGGCACAGTCGCATCACTTACTGTAACTTTTTAAAGAAAATTTCCTGTCCGATTTTGATTTTAACATGCATGGTAATAAAGTTAATATTTTGGTAATGTGGAATGCTCTCTTTATTTTTTTTCCCGTAAAACCAAATCATTTGCGTCACGAGATTCATTGTTTTACTTTATTTCTTTGTACTTTATTTATAGAATGGCTTCATTTACGACTCATGTGACCCGTCCCGTACGAGAATGAACATACTTTTTTAATTATTTCCGTTTTCTGATTTTTTTCTTTAAACTCCACAAGTTAATCCTTCCAAGATTCCCTTTTCTTTTCTCCCTTTTTCCCCAAACTTCATTGGTTTGATAACGTACTTCTGACCCTTGTTGATGTAATTACTTTTTGAATTTCATCCATCTTTCAAGTTTCCTCTTACAATGACAATTATGGAAAATTTTCAATGGACTTTACCCTATTGAAATAATCAAGTTTTATGAATAAAGTTGTCAACCAGTTATGTGCTTTGATTCAACTCCCTATTTTGATATTGCTCCTTCAATAGGCAACAGCAACTACAGTATTTATGGCACAAATATGATATAACGTTCTTTTGACCAGTTTTTTCAAGGGAACAAGGTTTCCGATCATCAAATATTTATTTTTCGCAACTTACATTTCCTTTTTTCTTTATTGGAAATTGACGTCGATCATCGACAAAATCCTTTTTTTGCGGCCCTACGCTCGACATGCGCATAATACTGTATATGGTCTAACCAATGGAGGAAAGGCGAACAAGTTTCGCCATCTGAAGGAAGGATACGATGTTGTTACTTACAATATGTTTGTTGGAATAATTGTCTATATGTATACTTTGAACTCTCATTTCGGTGTACATATATAGACTTTAGAAAACGGTTTGATTAAAAAAATCATGGTTATTTTATTTGACAGATCGGAACTTCAAAAAACTTCACAATACGTAAAATATTCTCTATAGAGTTAAAGTAATAATAAAGACAGACAATATGTCACAACCAATTATTGACTCCAATAGACAATTGATCTTTGTCCATGTAGTTATACCCGGGAAACATATCGAGCACATCCAGTACTTCCAAAAATCAATGTACAGTACATTGTATCTGGAATACATTATTATTTTTTTTTTAAAAAAAAAAAAATAACGAATAATCACCTTTTGAAAATATATTATTGTATTCCATGATATTATTTGTAATTACTGCATAAATGATTTTTTTTATTGATATATTCATTATATACTATACAAGGATTTAATGAAAAAAAAAAAATAAAATAAAATTTAATGAAAAAAAAAAAAACGATACTGAGATTTTTTTGTTAATCGCTAAAGAATTAATTATCCTGTATTTTTTAAAAAAAAAATTTCTTTCAAAAAATTTCTTTTAATAATACTTACTGTACCCGTATTCTAATAAAATTTTCAATGAGAATATTTTGTAATCATATCCTTTTTATTGAATTTTATTAAATACGATTGAAAAAAATTTCATACGTGAGATTTTGATCCCTTAACAATAATAACTTGATTCAAAATTTTACGAATATCAAAAATTGAAATCCTGAATCGAAGAAATTTATTCTCTATCTTAGGTAGCAAGATCACCGAACCTAATTTTACAAAACCTTGAAGATATTTTAAGGTAAGGCATAAGGGCTATTTAATGAATACGTAAGATCTTAAAATCATTTTAACAGAATAATTTATTATTCAACAATGTCTTTGGTGACACCTTGTTGCTTTAAGAAGCACCATTGCGACTTAAAGGAGAGTTGTAACGAAAAAGGCGTGTCTTTAAGTCATTATATCGATCCGATTGAGGAATACGCTACACCTTTTTGTTTTTCGACATACTTTCTAATATATTCTCGAATTTCTTAGAAAAAGGTGCTAACCATATTTCCTGAAAAAACTTGGGATTGTGATTCGGAATAAATTTTAGGTGATATCTGGTACTTAAATATTCCAGTCGATTCATAAAAATTTGATTGACGGTCCTTAATCTCGTGTTCATCCAATACTGTATCTGTTTCAAATTATCGATAATTTCCTCGAAGCCTATCCCTCTCAAATACTTTTGAATTATTTGCTCATTTGGATTCTCTATAGTTGGGAGTAAAATAAATATAGGGATATGTCTATTGTCTAACTCGTCTTTTAATGAATAATCTGTCCAAAAACATCGAGCAAGGTGACGGTTGAAAGTAGACTTGCCCGCTCCAGCTTCGCTCAAGAGCAACAGGTTCTTTTTTTCCGAAGCTAAGAAAGCGTCGACCTCGGCCACTTTCCTTTTGGTGGCACATACAAGTCGAATGCATTTTTAATTTCTTCGTTTTGTTCAATGTCATTTAAACATTATTCTTTGATTTTACCTAATGTTGCTAAAGATTCTGTGATAATTTAAGACGAGCTTCGATTATTAATTTGGAATCGACATCAAGTTGCTTTGCAGAATTTATAATATGCGGCTGGAATTTTGCAAAGCATCGCTCTAGCATAATTTTTAAAAACTCATCGTCTTGGTTCGTTAATTGTTGCAAAATTGCCAATACTTATGCTTTAACTTCGGGGTTTTCGCCCCATTGAGTTTCGTTTTGATAAAGATCTCTCGAAACCTAAACGCAGATTTATATTAAAATCACTTGTTCTTCTTACAAGGACTCTGACGAACGAACTGTTCGAGCTTTACTAACTGATTTTCTTGAAGATATCTATAAATCGTATGACTAGGTACCACTGTTTTGCCTGCTCAAAATCCATTCTATTCTTTTGAAGCGATTTACAATCTCACCAACACCTTGAAATGCCTCACTGAAATCTCTAAAGGTATCCAATAATTTACCTGGGTCCAAGTTTTTAAAAGCGTCAACTAAATTTGTGATTCCAATAGCCACTTTAAAAGTTCGATGCATAACTTCTTTCCATAAACTTTCGTCACTTGGAATATGCAACAACGCCTATCAGGTGTATTGGGCACGGTAAGCTAGCACTGGATTATCCTTTAACACTTTAAATTGTTGATATAACGGCACGTGTAGTTATTCACCAAACCCCTATTCGTAACATGGCATCTAACAACGGGCATATGTTTGTAATAATTCGTAGAGTTGACCCTCGTCTTGTTTATGCAGAACTTTAGGTGAGTATGTAGGATTCTTAATATGGCTACTAAATTCCCCATGATAACTTCTCTGACTTCTCTGGTAACCAAGAGTGAGTTTAAATCACTCGAGTTAAGCAGATCAATTGTTCAGAATGTTGTAAGGTTAATTTCCTGAATGCTTAACTCCAACAATTCCTCATGAATTTCTTTGTTTGGAATAGATTATAAAACAAAAATTTCACAAATCATCTCTTTCTTTTTGAATTTTCTCTGGGCAAATTGTTCAATAATCTCGTGAACTAAATCTATTAAGTGTTGCTTTTGTTCCGGAGTATGATTAGATTGCAAATAATCGATTAAATCTTGAGTGTTGCGAATGTCGTTTACGTCTTCTATCTTCGTATGTGATTCGAATGGATCTTGAATAAAAAAAACTCTGGTTTTGGTGAAACTTTAGGCATCGTTGTTTCTATTGTAACAGGGAGAAATGGAACGCAATGTCGGTCACGTGACCGATCGACGCAATGATTACGAGTCGGCTGTAATAATTAGGTAATAAAGGAGGGACGGGAAGAATTGTTAAAAAGAATTATGTAATCTAGCTTTAGCCTTGTCATTGTACCATAACCTATTATTCTTTGTCCAAGCAGCAATAGCAAAATGCAAAGAAAGAAGTATAAAAGTCAGGTACAATAGAAGGAGAAAGTTAAGGAAGTTAAGGAAGTAAAGAAGAAAATTAATAAAGTCTCAGTCAAATAAAACACGCCTCAAATCACCCTAGGTTCACCTACCTGACGACGGTTACGCGAATCTCTGCTAAGAGTAGCGACAGACTCGCCGTTACACCGTTACACCATTAAAGCCCGAAAATTTTACATATAGATTTCTGTTTCTAGGGGTTTTTGAAGTGCCGGGTTTACTAAATGTTTCGTGATACTTTGGTTCATACTTTTGAGCTTCTTTATAGCATTATCCATTTTTCCTAAACCATTGTAGACATTACCACATTCCAAATGAGCTTCAATCAAACGTCTTTTTACGTCAAGAAATAGAGAGGATCTTTGAGCATTAAATTCTCTAATCTCATTTTGATAGTGGGTAAAAGTAGGCGCAGTAACGTAACACGCCGTCGCGTCACGTAATTTGAGGTAGGAAATTCTGGAATAAAGTAGAAATAGCGGATAAGGTAAACATGTAAATAATAGGCGCATGTATAATTACATGTGCCGTGTGATAGCATGTAAAGGAGAGTTAGTTTAAAGTACATTAGCATTTAACAATAGAGTAAAGTTGTAAATAAACACTTACCTTGTTTTCAAGTGCGCCCAAAGTACTTGTAAATCGTGATATGTGACTAAGCGAGAGAACCGAGGTTTGCCTAAGGGAATTGGCGCAGGAAGGGTTCTAGATAAGTCGATAGAGATGTTAAAGTAAGACCGACCAAATCTTAAGAGAAAAGAAGGAATTTATTGTTAACCGAACGTGGAGACAGCAGCGTGGGCTTAATGGATAGCCCACGACAATAGGCATACAATGCCTCTATTAGATGCCCATCTGATTTTTGTTTTCTAGTACTTGTAGGCTTTACCCTCTTTGTGATGTTTATTTGTCTTTTTTGTATTTTTGAGAAAAAGTTAATCTCAATCAAGTAAATACTGCTTAATTATTTAAATATTATCATTTTAATACTGTAGCGTGATTATCATAATTCTGTAATTTATGGCGAACTAATAAAAATAACTTTTAACTGTATTTAAAAATTCAAAGTTATTGATTGATATCTAGTGATCAATTT